ACTGGACCAATATTGACCAGTTTTTTTATCAGTAACTGGTACAACTGTTTCTTTTATCAGTAACTTGTTTCAATGTACTGATCATGCTATCATCAGTTTCAATAATCAGTTATCCACCAGTTAGTGCCCAGTTTTGGCTGCATTTTTCTTAAGGGCGGAGCAGTCGATGACGATTTCGGAGCTATCTGTGTCCGTTCACGTGATTGCTAAGTGATAGCGAGTTTGAACATTTGTCCACAGTAAAGGTCGTTTGGATTGAGCTCGATCTCGGAGTGGCCTTGATAAAGTGATCTTAGCTTTCTCAATTTACAAAGAAGATTGCAGGTTTATTAAATCTTTTCGTCATCCTAAACTAAATCCTAGTGGCTTCTGTATCACCTAAGAAGAAACGCGTACATTCCGTTCTAATCCTCCTCGATCACACTATCTCACATTTTTATCTTTGCGCTGTACTTTCACGGAATCGATCCTATTCCAAAATACAGAAAAATACTTAATTTTGGTCTGTAAAAAATTCAACATTTATCAATTTTCTAAAGGGAAGAAACTTAAAGAATTTCATTATTTAATTTACGTTTATACATATGTTTTGTCCGATTAATTAGGGTTATAAGTTGAAAGGACGATCGAATATGTGATCCCAAGCACGTGTTCCCGCATTATTTCTCTGTTATTTGACCTTTTGTTTTTTTGAAGTGAGACTAATTTATATGCTATTACTCAAATTGCTCAAGAATAATAGAGATATGTATATTATTCTAGTACACCATTTTAACATATACTAAAAGACAGAGATTTCTTTATTATTTATTATTATTTTTTATATCTTATATGTTCTTTCAGCAAAAGAATATGACTTCCGATTGTCCTGTGTATGGTAAGAGAGCTAGGCAATCTCCGATCTCTATCGGTGGAATTAACATAAGTGCGATTCCTACAGGAGAGAAGACTTTTATCTATCAATTTGCGAAGAATTACCACGTTCTTCATCGCCCTATTGAAAATGATACTCATCGTTACATATAGGAAACACCTGTTAAGGGGGCATAGGACTCTTTTGGCTTCAAAAAATCGGAAATTTTTTTTGTATATTTTGAATGCTTAATGTCTTAAGAATGTTACCCCAAAGCCGTTTTTTTGAAATTCGAAATAGTTTGGAAGTTACAGCACTTTAAACGGCTTTGTGCACAGCTGTCTGTAGCCTTAATTGGCCTAAATGTAACTCCTAGAAGACGTCTGTATACTCCCTGTATATTCATTACCATATGCTCTATTGACCAAAAGTTATTGACTTAAGAATTTCTCCTTTCACAGAGGCTTATATCCTTTAATTTCGTCGTGTATTAAGCCTAATATACGAGGAAGAAGTCCAAGGTGTTAATATCCAAGTAACAATACCTCAGCGACATAGATGGTTACAGTATGATTTTTATATTCGAAACGCGTAGGTGTAAAGTTAAATCCTCAATGGTTACGTAGGTGCAATAAATTCGTATATTGAATTATTATGCCCTATAGGTATTCTACAGTTATATTAGTTACTGTAGTTATGTTAGCCTGAGTTACGATGATGATTCGCTCCAATTGCACACACCGGGAAAATATCATCACCGGCAAAAAGATTGTCGGCGATACGTCGATTTCGCGCGCGCGCTGAGCGGGCGCCTTTAACGCGCGGCCACGATAAAAGTTTAATGTAACACACAACTCGCAGCCATGAAATTTTCAATCAACAGACTCTTTGTTTTACGCGAGACAGATTGTTACCCCGTTGCAGAAAACGACACAAGCCCCGTCCCGCCAGTAAATCTCAATCAACACGCATTTAACGTACACAACCGTGTCCAATCTCTCAATCTAATTCTGGGAAAGTGTTGCAATTTACGGCGACATGGGTGCTTTATTAGGAACTTTCGAAACTTCTAAATAAAGTGTGAAACCGGTAACGTTCCCGCGAGGCGATAATATATTGTATGCATTCGTGCACACATTGTACTAAAAAATACTGCATTTTCGTATTTACCTCGCGCTTACTTTTGTACTTGAGTATTGATACTTTTTGAAGGCATGATTAAAACTAAAAAGCGTCTTGCAAACTGAGATTCATAATTACTATTATATTAGGGAGTAAATAAAATTCTATTCTTTAAACGTTCTAGAATAAAAACGTAATACTTATATGTAATTTGGCTAGTGAGAAATTTAATATTTATTAGTTTTCTATTAAGAATACTCTTAAAAGTCGCCAGTAGTAATTAACAACATCAATGATTTTTATTGACCATATCTGGCAATTAAAATTCTTATTGCGAAAAATATTACCCCAACCAGGATTCGAACCTGGGACCTCCCTCAATCCGTGCGGGCGTCTTAACCAGCTCGACCACTGGGGCCGTTTATCAGTGACAAATAAGGTACGTTGCTAAATTATTACGAGGCACTACAACTTGTAACGAGAAACAGAATGAGAAACATTTGCACGTTGGGACGGCAGATTTTACGAACGGAAATACTTTACGCGAGACAACTAACTCGTCTAAAATATGAATGCGAATCGTGATACCTTGTCGCGATTGCATCTCGTTTACGCGTCGCGCTTTGAATTACCTGTCGATTTTAGTGTAGTCTGTTTTCCATTTTCGGGAAAAGAGAGAGAGAAATTTGTTGGTACGCGGCTTTGGTGTTTGCGTTGTTCGCTAATTCGTTCCGTCGTACTTCGCAGCTCGAACAGGCAGGAAGTAGAGAAAGTCGCTTTACGCGCGTTGTTACGTATATCTCGAAGTGTAATTTACAATTATCTCTTTATCAATTAATAGTTACAGTTGGTAATAACTATTTATCGCAGTGGACGTTTCGGTCGTACATTTTATATCGCGTAAGAATTAAACTCATTTGCGGATTAAAGATTGCAAAATGTCGTTTTATTGAGGATTAAAATTAAACTTCTTTACCGCAAACGCTTGGATTTCGATGCTCACGGCGCGTTTTATGTCGGCAATTTGAAAGTGATTTGTCCATTGCTATTTTCGAATCAAAAATGCAAGGCGACATGTGAGTCGCGTGTTTGAATGATTTGCGTCACGGAAAATCGTACGACACACGTATGTTAATACTTGGTGCATTTCGCGGTATTTCACGTCGCGTAAGGGAGTGCCACGCAAAATTTCGCGCAATCGTAGTTAATCTTTTTCGCGAGTGAATATTGTGTGAGTGCAACAAGGAAATCCGAGAGGAGGAGGCCCGGGAGGCGTCGTGCAACGGCCGAGCAACCGTGAGGTAAGTTTTATATTTTACTCATTATTTGCTACTTGCAAAATTAAGCATTTGTTCCCTGATAGTCTCATTTATTTAAACGATTCGAATAAGAGTTACGGAAGGTGCAAAAATGTGCGTTGAAATTCTGAAAGTTTATATTTAAAAGGGAGACTTTCTTCGAGTACTCTATAATTATTTTATTATGGATCCATTTAAAGAAAATATAAAATATTTAATGTAATAAATTTGAGTGGAAATAGTTATTCTAATCATTAAATTTGTATTTTACAGGTTAACGCAGATCTTGCGGTTGCGCAACGTATGAGTGAGTAATAAATTGTCTTTTATTTTAAATAGACGCAACGGATCTACATATATAAAAATGTCATTTTACATAAGAGAGATTTATCTTATGTAAAATGCAGGTAGGAATTTAAGAACGTTTGATTTTGCAAATAAAGGTGAATTTTAATAGATCCGTTGCTTGAAATTGCATGAATTAGAATTAATAAGAACTCGGACAAGTTTTAATAATACGATGCACCATCTACTAATCCACGTAAAAGAGCAACGTGGATCAAAATATTAAATATCAAAAAAGGAATTGTGAAGGACAGAAGCGTCATCTGTTCCTTACACTTTGATGAAAAATTCTTGAACCGGACATCTTCGAGATTGACAAAACTGAAGAAAAATGCTGCACGATCTACTGATCCACGTAAAAGAGCAACGTGGATCAAAATATTAAATATCAAAAAAGGAATTGTGAAGGACAGAAGCGTCATCTGTTCCTTACACTTTGATAAAAATTCTTGAACCGGACATCTTCGAGATTGGCAAAACTGAAGAAAAATGCTGTACCATCTGTACACAGCTTAGCGAAATTTCTAAGTGACAAACACAAGGCCTATATCATGTTGAAACACGCGTACGGGGACCAATGTCTGTCCCGTGCGTACACGTCTGCATTATTCGACGAGTACCGTAGTCGAAGTTTCGTACAGATATCATCCCCTGTATGGTCTAAGCCGCTCAGTACATAGCTGGCAATAATGATCTTAAACACTTGCTGAAGCATCCGATACTCTCATCCTTTCTCTATCTCAAGCGACAAAATATACGGTACATTTTGTACGCGCATTTATTCCTCTACGCGATGTTTTATATCCTGCTAAATTACTGCATCACTACGTGTTTCAACAATCCTGCAAATGAAACGGAAATATTTAGTGACAATGTAACTTTAAAAAATCCTCTGCAGATCGTCTGCCATCAGGACAGTTCTCTATGGTACCTCATTATCCTACTATTACTGCTCTTTATATTTTGGGAGATCCTTCAATTCATCTCCTGTCCTAGGAACTATTTGTTGAAGTTGACAAACTTGGAGAGCTTGTTGCACAACATGCTGATTTTGCTGACGGTCGCTCAGATATGCGGGGCGCATCAGGTCGGCACTTTACTGATCCTGTTCGTTTTAAGCCGCTCGATTTTGTGAAACCGCGTGTCCGGGAGCAATCCGGAGGAATTATGGCTGAGTTTGAGCAATACACAAATCTCAAGTTCTTAGCGAAATTACTAAGTGACAAACACGAGGCCTATATCTTATTGAAACGCGCGTACGGGGACCAATGTCTGTCCCGTGCGTGCACGTACGCATTATTCGACGAGTACCGTAGTCGAAGTTTCGTACAGATATCAGAAGAGCAGTATGAGCCTTTTACGGCCAGTTTCGCTGTCGCGGGAACATCCAAAGCCCAAGCTAATGAGAAAAAATAGACACAATCGACGCTAAAGTCACAGTCCCAGTAACGGAAGATCCTACTTGTACCATCGAAGAACCCGGTGCATTTACGGCGGTATCAAAGGACGCCGATTGCTATAATATGAATCATAAAAATCGCGGCAAGTGCTTAATATTCAATCACGAGAGATTTAACTTTTCTTCCCAACGGAAGGGTTCATTATTGGACGCCAAGAGACTGGAAGTAACTTTCAGGAATCTTGAATTTGACGTGGAAATTTACAATGACTTCACGCATAGCGAAGTTGTGGACATGATACAAGACGTGAGCAAGCTCGATCATACGGATAATGACTGTCTCTGCATCATTGTGCTAACTCATGGGAGCGAGAAAAATATGATAATCAACATGATCTAAAAGATTTTTACTTTATATTTATTGAGTTGCCTAAATTTGCAAAAACCAAAGAGGATCAGCTTTCAAGTATAGTTGAAAAAGTATGCAAATTAGAAATTTGCACGTGGCTTCCTCATAGAGGAAGGTTTAGGAGCGAAATCTAATTTTTTTCGATGTTTCTTGAAAGTGTGAAAAATTCTTGAACCGCACATCTTCGAGATTGACAAAACTGAAGAAAAATGCTGCACCATCTACTGATCCACGTAAAAGAGCAACGTGGATCAAAATATTAAATATCAAAAAAGGAATTGTGAATGACAGAAGCGTAATCTGTT